GTTGGAATTAATAAAAGATTAAGTTTCTTCCTTCATGCAAATATGATCTTCTGAGGGGTGTATTTGGATAATATTTATTTCTTTCCTTATCTTCTTCTCTATGTTACGTTTTCTCCTAATTAATATCTCGATGATTTCTCCGCTCTCTCCTTTTTTTTTTCCCTCTGAGCATAACTTCATCCTCCTTGATGGCATCGATTATCTCAACGACACAATCAAGATAGCTACAAAAGGGGATCTCGATGAAGGATGAAAAGACATAAGAAAAGTGAGCAATCTCTATTCTCTCTCTCATAATTCTCTACAATTTGATTTCTAGTTTTAATTTTTGGGCAAAACATCCATTGAGCAAGAGACGTGGTTGCATCGAATCGCCTCTGCGAAGGCGACGACTATTATTCCAGGGCAGTGATCACACGATTACCCCTTTTCTCAGGTTGCGTTTCTAACCTGTTTTGGAATTCCTTTTTTTTTTATTCGCGGTGATTTTTCTAACACAATTTCCCTCAACTGAGTCCACACAGTAAACAAGTCCTTCGGACCTTCAGTAATGTGGAACTTACAACGCAAAGAATTCCATAAAGACGAAACATGACCACGCTCAAGCAACAAATGAGTATATTGAGTTTCGTCCTCTCTGATTCACGTAGGACGCAGACATATGATCAGCTGTAATCCTTTTCAACAAAGGCCTCTTTTGTATTTAATTTCCCCAGCACAGCAATCCACATTAAAAAAAAAAAAAATCCTCAAAATGTTTGATTACAGCAGAAATCTTGAACGAATATTTTGCACACTCGCCAGTGCCTGTCATGCACAGAGGATCACGATGCCCATAATATGTTTGGTCACGGAATTTCCAGAGTCACATCATGATGCGTGATCTGATAAAAAGCGGTGATTTGTTTTGCTAGTCAAACAATATAAGTATAGAATCTTATCCCCAAAGCAAGGCAGAGGGCGGGGAGCGGGGAATAAAAACGGGCTGAAGCAGGCCGAGCAACTGCTCCTCCCACGTCTAGCCCATTTTCCTTTCAGTCAGAGGGTCCAACTTCTAGTAAGTTTGGGCCTGGTAAAGCCCAACGAATAAAGTCTCTTATGAAAAGAACCATAAGACCCTCACTTTCCTTACATTCACCCAGTTCTGCGGACCCAAATGCGCACCCGCTGTCTCTCTCTCCTCCTCCTCCTCCTCCTCTTTCTCTCTCCTCAGCCTCAGCGAAGGTCGCGATCTGTACGCCGTCGCCTGGGACTTTGTGTGGAACTACGGTTTTCGAGGAGGGCTGCCGACGGCGGAGGCTTACGAGATCGGTGCTGAGCTTTTGGACGTGGTTGGCGAGGTCTCGGGCCTGGGTTCGGGTGCGGACAGGGCGCGTTGGGTGATCCGGAACCACGAGAGGGTCATTGGGATTGCTGAGGCTCTGCTTCGGAGCTTGCTTAGGGTTTTCTCGAAATCGGTGAGCCTTTCAACTAGAGGGGGTCACCCGCATTTGACATCAATTTTACAAATTTTGAGATGCACACTGCATATTTTTTTTTTGGTGTCGCACCTAAAATGCAATATTTGCAACAAAACCCAACTGAAAAACTGAAACATTTGAGTTGGGAACTTGGGATGATCGGCTGCAGAGAAGAAGAGAAAGAGTGGCGGATTTCTTTGAGGGGGCTCTGTAATAGGTAGAGAGTTTGAATTTGATTCTATGTTTACTCAAGGAGAACCATCGCCAAACCCATCATCTTCACCTCTCATAACCGCCCCTGAGAAATTTTCTCACAACAAACTCATTTTCCACATTTCCCATGTTTTTCACAACTTGAGAGCCGTTGATTTGGTTACACAGGACGGAATCAAGGTAATATGTCCCACTTGACCAAATTAACCAAGTGACATGCCTCCCACTATCTGTGAGATTAGATGTTTCTTCTTACCATTACTCCCACTATTCATAGAGAGTAATTTTGATTTCATTATTCATGAAAATTTATTTGGACTTATTTATTTCTAAGTCCCATCAAACTTACATGTTTGATAAAAGATTCAGCTGATATTTTTTTTTTGTCAAATGATTAGCAATCATGTCTGTAGTAAGGATATAAGTCACTTTGACTTCTTACTTTTCTATAATATCTCGAATATAGTGATACTGGATCTCAATATGTTTTCTTTTGGAGCTAATCGCGTCACTATTGATTAAGCTAATTACTGCTTGATTATCACAATAAATATCAATAGGTTCTTTTAACAAATTAAGATTTAGATCAATCAAAAACCGTCTTATCCAGACAGCATGTGTAGTTGTCATGCTGCAAGCTATATATTCAGCTTCTTGCGTATATCTAGCAACACACCCTTATTTCTTGCTACTCTAAGAAAAAACTCCTCCAAAGATGAATAAGTGTTTCGAAGTGGACTTTTCATCATCTTTATCACCTCCAAAATCAGCATCAGAATAACTGAGGAGTTCAAGCGAATCGGCTTGATAAACTAATCTATGAGTCAATGTACCTTTGGTATACTTCATAATCCTTTTAACAGCTTCTCAATATGCTGGTCCTGGATTACTTTGATATCGACTGACTAGACTTACAACATAAGCTAGATCAGGTCTGGTGCACAACATTGCATACATCAAGCTTCCAATTGCTTGAGCATAAGAAACATTTAATGCCTTTTGCCCCTTTTTAGGGTTTTATTCTTTACATAATCTCTTTCTCATAACCAACGGAGCTGGCGTCAGATTAGAATTCTCCATTCCAAACCTTTTAAGAACTGATCTTAAATATTTTTCTTGGTTTAAACTTAGCATTCTAGACTTTCTATCTCGAATTATTTGAATTCCAAGAATATATGATGCATCTTTTAAACTTAGCATTCTAGACTTTCTATCTCGAATTATTTGAATTCCAAGAATATATGATGCATCTTTCGTGTCTTTCGTGTCAAACTTTTCGCTAAGATCTGCCTTGATTTTATTCAACATTTCTATGTCATTTCCAGTGAGCAATATATCATTCACATATAAGGATAATATAGTAAATTTGCTCCTACTTTTCAAGATATATACATAATTATCTAATTTATTTTGAATAAAACCAAGTTTAGTGATCGCATCATGAAATTTGAGATATCATTGTCTAGAAGACTGTTTTAAATCATATAGAGATTTTATTAATTTGTAAAGTTTATGTTCCTGTCCTTTCACCTGAAAACCTTCAGGTTGTTGCATATATGTCACTTCCTTCAACTCTCTGTTAAGGAATGCAGTTTTAACATCCATTTGGAATAATTCCAAATCAAGATATGCAACAATAGCCAAAATAATTCTAATGGATGCAAATTTAGCTACAGGAAAATACGTCTCCTGAAAATCTATTCCTGTTTTCTGGTTGTAATCTTTGGTAACTAACCGTGCTTTGAATTTATCAATAGATTCATCAACATGATATTTCTTTTTAAGCACCCATTTGCATCCTATGATTTTTTTATTTTTTAGTAGATCACATAACTCTCATACCTTGTTCTTTTCTATAGAATCAAGTTCTTCTCTCATGGATTCTAGTCATAAAGCTGATTCATGCGATTTTATCGCATCAGAAAAGGTTAAGGGATCTTGTTCTTCTATATTTGTATCTATCGAGAAACAGGATGACTCCAATGAATACAAATAATATTCATCCATCCATAAAGGTTGTGTTCTTGGCCTTTTGTTGCCTACAACCGATTGATGAAATACATTATTTTTCATAGGTATTTCATCATTTTCAAGGTTAGGTTCATTCACAATATCAAGGTCATTAGTGGGAACAACATTGTAATAATCATCATCTATTACAGTTAGAGGTTTGTTTCCCCTCGAACTTGTTTCTCTTCCTCTAAATTCTCTAGAAATGTAGCATCTCTGCTTTCAATGATTTTTTTTCTTTATTGTAAAACTTATAACCTTTTGATTTTTTTTCTTTATTGTAAAACTTATAACCTTTTGATTTTTCTGAATATCCTATGAATATACACTTTATTGTTTTAAAATCCAACTTATCTCTAAGTTGATATGAAATGAGAACATGGGCTATAAATCCCCACTTTCCGAGATGACTCAAATTAGGTTTCCTCCCATTCCGTAATTCATAAGGTGTAGATACAACTGATTTGGTGAAAATTCTACTTAGAATGTACTTTACAGTTAACAATGCTTCTCAAAAGTTTTTAGAGAGACTAGAATGAGACAACATGCATCTAACTATATTCAGCAATGTTCTGTTCTTTTTTTTAGCAACACCATTGTGTTGTGGTATATACGACATTGTATGCCTTTTAATTCCATATTGAATATAATAACTTTTAATTTCTTTAGAGTTATATTCCCACCTCTATCAATTCTCAAAATTTTAATTTTTATTCCAAGTTGGTTTTTAACTTCTGTCTTATATCTCTTAAAACAGTTAAGAGCTTCTAATTTTCTGGATATAAGATAGATCAGACGTGTGCAAACTTAGAATAATCATCAATAAAAGTAATAAAATATTCTTTATTACTATGAGTTTTGATATTTAGGAGACCACAAATATCCGAGTGTATTAACCCTAAAAGTTTATTGGCTCTTTGTCCGCCAATAAAAGATTTTCAAGTTATTTTACCAGTTAAACAATGTCCACATGGTGACAATTGAACATTAGATAGTGCATGAAACAAGTTCATTCTAATAATTTCTTTCATTTTTAAAATACTAGCATGTCCTAGTCTAGAATGTCACAATTCAGACTCAGAAATATAACAAGACAAGTAGTTCAAATTCGAAATTTTATTATCAGAATTATTACAAACTACTAGAAGAATGCATAATTCATGCTCGGACACATATTTTCCCACAGCATACACTATTATTCTTGCATGTAGAAACCCGGTTATTATAGAACCTAACTTCCAGTCCTTTCTTCATCAAGCTGGGAACAGAGATCGGATTGCGTCGAATTCCTAACGCATAGAACACATCTTTGAGGATAAGAATACTGTCCCTAAGATCCAATCTATACGAACCAATACCTTCTACATCGAGATAGATATTATTTCCCATATACATTCTCTGTTTTTCTTTCTTCAGCTCGGTGAATTCTATGACCCCATTCTTGTCTTTTGCGATATGTCTAGTTGCACCGGAATCGATCCACTAACCGCTGATATACGTCATCATAGCATTGCATTCCGTCACATCAAAAAATTCTCTTTTGCTAATACCCTCTTGTTCTGGATGTTTATAGCCTCTATTATTCTCTTGTTTTCACATTGTGGGCAATTAAGCTTAAAATGCCCGAACTTTCCACAATTATAACGGGCTCCACGTGATACTTTCTTTCTCTTGAATTATTGTGATTTCGATCATCGCGGTTGTGGTTTACTAGGACCAGTGTTTTATAGCTTCCAACATTATGCTTCTGGCAGACATAATTCAGCTCTTGCTGTACTATATTCAGTTCTGGTTCTTTCCTATTGGCTATTAAGTCCAGTTCTATCGCTAGGTGCATTGGAAGATTAGTGACAGATTTAACGACAGTGTTCATTCTTAATGTGGTGGCAGCCAGAAGGGAAGGAGGGTGACTATTCAAAATGGTTGCCACTTGTATTCTTTTCGGGATTTCGGTCTCAGCAGTGGATAAGTCCTTAGCCATGATAATCATCTTATTTATATGTTCTACGACATTGTCTCCCTTTTGCATACGACAATAATTATACTTATGCAAGAGGAGTTGAATGTTAACTTCAGAGGAGGTGTCGTATTTCTCTTTTATAGCATTCCACATGTCCATGGAAGTCTTATAAGTTTTAAAAACTTTGATTAAGTTATTTTCCATGAACATGAGCATAAAGCTTTTTACCTTTTTGTCTTTTAACTTTCACCGTTCAAACCCTTTCTTTTCTTCAGGTGTTGATTTATCAGTAATGGTTGGAGAAATGGTTTCGATTACATCATCAATATTGTCATGAATAAGAGTATATCCCATTTTTCTATGCCACGTATCATAATTACTGTCATTAAATTTGTCAATTTTTCCTAGTTCTGATAGAATGAGTTTACTAGCCATTCGGTAGAGAACTAAAACTAAATCCAATTTTAAAAAATGTATAAGGTTGGTATATTGACAATTATACTAAAATAGAATAAAGTTAGATAAATAAATAAATAAATGAACCTGACTGTTCCGAGTTGATGAAAGAGGCTCCAATTTGAGGAAGATTGTCACTCAGCGTTGTTGATTGGATCAGCACTTGTCGAAGATGGTTCTGTCTGAATTGTGGAGATGATCTGCTCTGTGAAACCAGCTTTGCGAGGTGCCCTCCACTTGGATAGGTGAAACAGGCCTTCGCTCGTCCCACACAATATTAATTTATTTAAGTGTGAAAACAACATACACCACTGGTTAAGCAAGCCCAAATACAAAGGCCTAATAGGCTAGTAAACGA